GGGTGACGCCGGCTGTCCCCTGGTGTGTGGCCGAGCGTCCCCAGGGCCTGGCAGGGGCTGATTCCTGCCCCTGCTGTCCCCAGCTTCTGCAAGGACACCTTTGACAAGAACTACAAGGCCACCATCGGGGTGGACTTCGAAATGGAGCGTTTCGAGGTGCTGGGCGTCCCCTTCAGCCTGCAGCTGTGAGTATCCTGGCCAGGACCCCCATCACGTCCCCAGCCATGTCCCTCTCCATGTCCCCCTGTGACCGCCCTCTGTCCCCAGATGGGACACGGCCGGCCAGGAGCGCTTCAAGTGCATCGCCTCCACCTACTACCGGGGTGCCCAAGGTGAGGCGCAGTCCCTACTGTGTCCCCATTGTGTCCCCACCGGCCCCGTCTCACCTTTCCTTCTCCCCCAGCCATCGTCATCGTGTTCGACCTCAACGATGTGGCCTCCTTGGACCACACACGGTAGGACTAGGGCGAGCAGGTCTGAGCGAGGCGGTAGCCCAGGGACGCCGGCGGTGACACCGGCAGTGACACCGGCGGTGACGGTGGCCCTTGCAGGCAGTGGCTGGCAGATGCCCTCAAGGAGAACGACCCATCCAATGTCATCCTCTTCTTGGTGGGCTCCAAGAAGGACCTGAGTGTGAGTGCGTCCACCTGGGGGACCACACCAGTGCCCTCCCTGTGACAAGGCTGGTGTCACCAGTGTCCCCTGTGCCCTCCCACCCGTGCTGTCCCCTCCGCAGACGCCAGCCCAGTACAGCCTCATGGAGAAGGACGCGCTCAAGGTGGCCCAGGAGATGCAGGCGGAGTATTGGGCCGTCTCCTCCCTCACCGGTGGGTCCCCTGGGCCGAGCAGGGTGGCAGCGGGGACCGGGATGGGGCCGAGCGGAGAGGGGGGACGAGGACGCTCGCGTGACTCGTCTTGGGGACAGGGGAGAACGTGCGGGACTTCTTCTTCCGCGTGGCGGCGCTGACCTTCGAGAGCAGCGTGCTGGCCGAGCTGGAGCGCAGCGGCGCGCGCAGGATCGCCGACACCGTGCGTGAGTACCGCCAACGGCGGTGGGTGGCATCCCGGCCGCCCCCGCCGACCCGGGCCTGCTCCGCCAGGGCTCAGCGGCCCCGAGAGCGACCTGTACCTGACGGCGCCGCGCAAGAAGCCCAAGTGCTGCCAGTGAGGAGCCGCCCCTGGCGCCCAAACCGAGACCAAAGAGCCGCAGTGCCACCCGCACTGCCAGCCACCCTGAGGGGACATCGCGCCCGCGCTCCCGCCTCGCTGTCCCGGCCCTGCGGCTCCTCCGCTGGCTCCGGGCAAACCGGGGGCACCGGGTGATGATCCCGAGGTGCCTCCTGCCTCCGGCTGGGCCCTCTCCGGAGCCCGGGGCCGGCGCAGACGCCGCTGCGGTGCCGCGCGGCTTCCTTAGCTATGCAACGCCACGCGCCGTTAGCTGCGATTTTTCATAATAAATTTTTTTTTTACACTTTTTAAACAAAACCAAAGCCAAAAGCGAGGCGTGCTGTTGCTCCCTGGTCCGTCGTCGCAGCGGGTTGCCGTGCGGGCGCTCAGGGCCCGTCGAGCTGGTGGCGGTCGAAGCGGGGCTGCAGGCGCGGGGGGACGCAGTGCGCGCACTTGTAGCGCTCGCGGAGCCAGCGCCCACCCTCGCTGTCCTCGATGCAGATGGCGGCGACGCCTGCGGGGACGGGGCGGCCGCG